TTATAAAACTAAAATAAAAAGTTCAAATGAGAGAGTTCTTTACATTAAAATTCATTTATTTTGTAAAGGCTAGATGATAGTTGTAGCTCTCATTAGACATCATCAAGATGTTTGAAGGAATGATGAGAATACTTTCTAATTGCTTTACCATTTTGAGGCCAACCTCTCTAAAGCCAAATCTCCTACTAATAATAGTCTCTATGATCTGCTTCTCTTCGCCATTATGGTGGGGGAACTGAAGGGAGTTTAACCAAGAACGAGGCTGAAAAAACACTCTCAAACCTATGTTATATGTTCTCAAGAACATTTCATATAGAAAACCCATCAGTTATAGCCTCTACAAGCAAGATTGATAGTAAAGGAATAAGAATTGTCATCACAAAAGCCTCTATAAGTAAGGCTAGAATACCAGTATTCATAAGGGTGGAGAATCTCTTTCTTTTAAAATGGGTAGCAATGCCCGTAATTATTTTTAAAGGAATTAGATTTACTTGACCCCTAATTTTATTTTCTATGAGAGTTTTCACTCTTGCCATTGTTTCCTTAAAAAGGGAGCTCAGGAACAAAAAGTTCATCTACAATAGTCATCCTCCATCTTTTTTATAGTCTTGTCTCCACTCAAATTAAGAGACGAAAATCCTTTTTTTGAACTCTCTTTTACAAACCTTGCTAAAGTTTCTCATCCTCTTTCAACTATTAATCCTACAAAAAAAGAGTCAATAATGAACCTAGAGGCATAAAAAACAAGGGATAAGATATATACTTTGCAACATGGTTTAGTAATTCCTTTGGCCATCCTATTGAAGTTGTACTTGGTTAAGGCTGATGCTAACACAACACATATTTTCTCCTTATTTGGGATCAAACAAGGCCCATTATTCACATCAAGGGGAGGCTTAACCAAATATATTCACTTCAATAATATAAACAATCCTAAATATATTGCATCCCATCTCTTGGGTTGATTAACCAAATATACCTAATTATCAGCCACCCTATTTAATTTCTTAACATGCATAGGTTTGCTCCACAAGGTTCCCTTCATGGATCATGTGGGTCTATTGGCAAAGGAAAAGAGCCAATACATGTCATTACCACCATCAATGTTAGCGACTAGATGGTAACTGGTCTTAAAAAATTTAATTTTAGGCTCAATTATAACAAGCCCAATAAACTTATCAAAGGTGGATAAGATTATCCACCTATGAAGGTGTAATTAGCTTGGACCCAACTTGAAGTATCTAAAAACTTTCCTCACAAATCTATATAGATGGAAGGAATACCCCAACATATATATACAAAAAAGGTTGAAATTTCAAATTAACCTTGGATAGAGCCTAAGGTTACTAGACTTATACATTTAACTTTAATAAAAAATTAAGTTATATACTCTTATGATTGCCCACCATTAACAAATGTTAGACCCTTTACGCCTATCATACAAGGGCATTATCTTTAGGGGTTTGAGGTAGCCTTTCTCTCTCTTAAGGTTCCTTGGTAATAACAAGAGAAACAACTTTTTTATGGGGATAAATACTTTCCCCCAACCAAAGATAGATATTGGGGATCCACTCTTTAGTTCTAGAGCCCAATTTAATGCATCCCCATCCTTTGTTACTTCCTTTAGTTTCAGTTTGAAACCTAAACTCCTCAATAAATGTAGTAATATCCTTATTTTTAAAGTTAGATCGAACTCTTTTAGGTCTATTTTGATGTTAAAAAAGATGATGAAGAAAGAAGCTTTTTGTGGAAAATACCTACAAAGAAGTTTTCTTCTCAAATTAGAAAAAATTGGTTAAGGGATTTTTCAACAAAATTGTTTATCACAAGTTACAAAGAGTAAAAGTAAAAGAAATGATAAAAGTTAAAATGAATAAGGTTATAAAAGAGATAACTATTCACCCTTATTACTGGATGAATGACCTTTCATATCATCTCAAATTTCTAAAAATCTACTCAAATATTGTCTTGAATATACATTGTCATTTTGTTTCCTAAAGGACATCTCTTTTATTGAAGATAAGTCACTTGGCCATGATGAATCCTATAGTTCTATCTGGGACAAACAAATCTCATATGAAAAGTAAAATGTATTTTCATTCATCAATAAAGATAAGCCACTTGAACATGAAAAATCTTAACATTTCTACATGGGATAAACAAATCTCATGGGAAAGGCAAAAAGTCTCTGATGGATAGGACATATAACTCTCAGGTAAAAATAACTTTTATTAAAGTTGATAACCTTTCAAATCTTTGCGTATTTAATACACAAAGACTTGGGGGTTATTGATAGATCAACATGTTTACATATGTTATTTTTTCTTGAATCCATGCTTAAAAAGAATAAGGTAGAGTGATAACCCAATGTTATGTGGGTCCAATGAGCTGCCAGACTATTCTTCTTTGAGCTTAGTCACGCACAAAATGCCATATCCAATATCTTTAGGCCTATTTACATATTAAACCCAAGTGTATATGGATCTAGCGAGCTATTAGACCTAATGTCTTTGGGCTTAGCTACACACTTAGTCTATATACATGAGGGTCTAGTGAACTATTGGATCTAACATGCTTGTACGTAGTTACATGTTGAGCCCAAATATATATGAGTGTAGGGAGTTATGAGACTTAACATCCTTGAACTCAGCTATGCGCTGTGCCTAAGTACATATGTGGGTGAGGCTAACTGGCAAACCTAATATATTTAGACTCAACTACGCGTTGAGCCTAAGTATATGTGGGTATGGCTAATTGCCAAATCCACTATCTTTGGACTTAGCTATATACTGAGTCCAAGTACATGTGAGTCTAGCAAGTTTCCAAACCTAACATCCTTGAACATAACTATGTGCTGAGACCAAGTACATGTAAACTTGACGAGCTGCTGGATCAAACATCCTTAGACTAAACTATACACCAGGCTCAAATATATATATGAGCATGAATGGATACAGAACCAACAACCTTTTTAGGGCCTATATTGGACCATAAGATTTTATTTGTTTATTTTTTATGACCTTTAATATAAAATATTAAGGTTAAAGATACTTACCTCTAAACACCTTTAGGTGTATAAAAGTTTTCTAAGGATCTACCACTTTTTCATTAATGTTAATGATGTGTAAGAGATATTTATTTATTATTAATACCATTAAAAGAAAATTACTTTCCAGTTCATTTTTTATACAAAAAGACAAGACTTATAAGCTATAAATACCTTATGAATCCTTCAAGCTCTAGGTTCACAAATCACTATTCTCTACTACACATATATTTTTGAGCATCTCTCTTTAAAATATCATTTCACTCTCTCTAAAAAGATACCTACTTAAGTATCTGAGAGGCTTCAAATCTACCGAAAAAGAACTTTTATAAGTATCAGTCATCGACCACCTTGACTTACTAGAAACTAGGAATTAGCCATTGAGCACCTTAGTTAGAAAGAATGAATTAGATTGCTTGATCCAATAGATAAACATATTATCTAACACATAAGCTTTGCTCCTAAACTACTTGAATAAAAAAACATATGATAGAAACTAGGATAAATATTAAGGTTTTTTTTCTTTTCCTGTTAATTGATACATATCAAACATACTAGAAGATCCTCTAGGTATACAAGTATTTGCTAAATATTAAAATAAAATAAAATATACATCACAAGAAAACAAATTAATGACTACACATCTTACCAGTTACATATAACTCCATGTATAATACCAAAATGAAATTATAGTTACCACCAATATATTGATCATAAAAATATGAATCAAGTGCAACTCCCTCCTATACAAGATTTTAGAGCATAAACTTTACAATTTGTTGACAATGTTGTTTGCCAAGAATATAAAAATTACATGACTTGGTTTTGTTGAACAAATTAAATAGAGGGAATTAAAGAAGGAGTTAGAAAAGGACATAGGAAAGAGAAATTAAGGGTTCTAGTAGAGATATAATTATTGATGAGATGAAGTTAATTTATAGGGTTTTTGAAATATAAAAGAAGAATGGATTTTGAAATTTATTAATATTCTTCAAAAAGGGTACTGTTAATTATCTCTTAGTTAAAAAACATCTAATAATTTATTGGGTACTATACAAAGTATTTGAAATACAGGAAGGAAATAAAAGAAAAAGAAAGATGATATTTTCAATGTTAATTTTAAGAGAAAGTATTGTGGCTTTTTTTTAAAAAAAAATTGAATTGCATTTACTTTGTAGGGTTTTTAAGAGAAAATAAAAATGTTGGTATTTTTAAAATGATATTTTAATGTTATTTTTAAAATAAATTATTGTAGCAAATCAAAGGGTCTCCTCTTTTATTACCTTCCCTCTGATTTGGTTTTGCATTTTTTTTTTATGAATTGAATTCCATAAGAATTCAAATAAATACAAATTAAAAGTTTTTAATTTGTAATATATTATTTTTTTCATCGATTATGGTTTTATGATCTCAATTGCAGTTTAGGTTAAGTAACTCAAATTTTTTTAATTAATTTTTTTAAATTATATTTTTTAATATTGAATCGATAAAAAATTAACATGGAAAATAATCTAGTTTATTAAGAAATAAAATGATAGGTTAACCAAAATACAACGTGGCAAAAAAGGAAAAAAAATTTGTTTTAGGAAATAAGAATGAGATATACCTTATTTTATTAAATATGAATTGAAAATTGCGAATAGTCTCTCTTTTTTATCAAAATGGGGAGATGAATCTAATACACAAATTGACCAGTTGCTTATCACTAAAATAGAAAAATTATATGCACATATATGTATATTACGAAACATAAAGATACGAAACATAAATACAATATTAATTATTTTAACTATTTATGGAAGGGTCCCCATGGTAGGACTGAATGATCCAAGGTATCAAAGCTGGAAAGCAAAAGGTGATGAGAATAAGATAAACTTGCGACGACGACAATAACAATGCATTTTAATTTGGCAGATATACGAGGAGGAGGAGGAGCTTCAAGACTACTCCTCCAATGGTTAAGATTCTCAGGCTTTTAGGTTTTATTGTTTCTCTGATAATTCAGAACTACACCACTGCAAACGGGAAGATCCATCATCATAAGTTTGTGGTATCTACATCTCTCTCTCTCTCTCTCTTCTCATCTCTCCTTCTTTTCATCTCCTCTCTCATCCAGTTGTTATTGCAGGTGAAATCAGCATCCTTTACTCGACTGTGTACTACAAAGGAAATCTTAACAGTAAATGGGAAATTCCCAGGGCCAACTTTGGAAGCCTATACTGGAGATGAACTCAGAGTAACTGTCTACAATAGAGCAAAATATAACATCACTCTCCACTGGTAGGTGCTCCCTTGCCTTCGTACAAAAATTCAAACCGTTTTTTCACAAAAGATAGTTTGATGAATTGCTGTGTGGTGTGGGCATGGGGTTATGGAAATGGTGTAACGAAAATGGCAGGCATGGAGCTAGACAAGTAAGAAATCCATGGTCAGATGGGCCTGAATACATCACACAGTGCCCTATTCAGCCAGGAAGAAGGTTTAACTACAAAATCACATTGACTACCGAAGAAGGAACAATATGGTGGCATGCGCATAACAGCTGGGCAAGAGCAACAGTCCATGGTGCCCTCATTATTTATCCAAAGCATGGATCGCATTATCCCTTCCCCAAGCCCCACGCTGAGTTTCCAATTATACTAGGTCTCTCTCTCCCCCTGTATAATAATACTATATAATATAATACTAATAATAGTAATAGTAATAATAATAATATCTTAATAAAAAAACATTAATTAATATTTATAACTCATTTATATAAAATTCTATTAACTCTCACATGTGTTCATTCATCTAGAAGAACATGTTCTTCTATTTAACATATGTGTGCTCATTCTTACAGGAATCTATGGTTTAATGATACTTGAGATTAATGTGATATTGATTTTTGACGAAGTTATCCTTCTGGTTTAATTGGCATAAGTTTTGAATTTAATTGTTATAAAAGTTTTGATTTTATGTTTTTGATATTTTATAATATTTATATAAAATTTATTTCATTTCTTTGGCTTTTGAGAATAAAATAAAAACTCATATAAAAATTTAAAAAAAGCCCAAAAATTTAAAACAAATCAACGTACATTAATAAAAAAAATTAACTACTTTATTTTATTTTTTTATATTTTTTGAAATAAATAAAAAATATTTCTAATGTAAATAACAAAATTTTAAAAGTAACTTATAGTAATAAATAAATATAATGTTGTCAAAAAAATTTAACAATCTGTTTTTTGAGTCTTTAATCAATATTTCATTTTTTCTTTTTAAATTGAAACCAATAAGGAGCTAACACGTGATCCCCTCCCCTTAAAAAATTAAAATTAATTTAAAAATAGGTTTATTACAGACAGAGAGACCTTTGCTGAGAACTCAATCTCTCAAATTAAAACTATAAAATTATCTCTGTTAAAAATTGATACCGTAGTATCATTAAACCGGAGGTTTATATACTTTTTGGCATGGCTTGTTGAGAATCAGTATTGATTCTCAATTTACTATTATTATTGTTGTTGTAGTGGAGGCTGGATGAAATTAATTGCTGCCTCAATAATTATTCAATTGAAGAAAATCTCAATTAAAAGAAGAATCAAATGATGATGAATAAAACGCAATGAAATAGTTTGGGACACTTGATTTTAACTGCTAGCTGCAAGTATGAGAGTGTGTGTGTGTAATGCCGAGGCTGGTTTTTACGTGCGTAGGAGAGTGGTGGAAGAAAGATGTGATGAAAATACCTGGAGATGCAAATATAACAGGTGGTGAGCCAACTCTCTCAGCTGCGTTCACCATCAATGGAGAACCAGGATATATGTATCCATGCTCCAAAGCAGGTACGTATATATGCTAGCTCAAGGAAGATTCTTGCTCAAACTGGTTTCGTTCGAGGGCACAGGTGCTTGCGTACCTTTGAAAAATGATGGCCAAATGATTTGCTTAATATATTGTGCATGCAGGCACCTTTAAAATGATGGTGGAGCAGGGAAAAACCTATCTCCTTCGGATAATCAACGCGGTATTAGATGAAAATATGTTCTTTTCCATAGCAAAACACAAACTGACGATAGTAGGAAAAGATGGGTGTTACCTGAAACCATTTACATCAGACTATCTAATGATCACCCCTGGCCAAACCATGGATGTTTTATTTGAAGCAAACCAACCTCCCAGCCACTATTCCATGGCTTCTAGGGCATACTCAAGTGCTTTTGGGGCTGGTTTTGATAACACAACAACAACAGCCATCGTAGAATACCATGGCATTTTTCATTTACTGCAATCTCCTCATGTTTCACCTCTTCCTCCATACAATGGAACACAAGCATCCACAGACTTCACGAAGCAATTTCGAAGTCTAGTAAAAGCCAACGTTCCACAAAAAGTTAACACTCGTTTGTTTTTTACCATATCTGTCAACCTCCTTAACTGTAGTACTAATAAGCCTTGCGCGGGTCCTTTTGGCAAGAGATTCGCAGCTAGTATAAATAACATTAGCTTTGTTAATCCTCCATCTTTGGACATCCTTCAAGCTTACTATTATGGGGTTGCTGGTGTTTTTAAAAGAAATTTTCCTCGTAAACCTCCTAACGAGTTCAATTACACTGTTGAGAATCTCCCAGCTAACCTTTTGACACCAAGTTTTGGTACTAAGGTGAGAGTTTTGGAGTACAATGCAAGTGTTGAGATCATTCTTCAAGGGACAAATATATTAGCTGCTGATAACCATCCCATCCATTTACATGGCTACAACTTTTATGTGGTTGGAAAAGGATTTGGGAATTTTGATCCCAATAAGGATCCTTCAAAATATAATCTTGATGATCCACCTGAGGAGACTACAGTTGGAGTTCCTCATAATGGATGGGCAGTGATCAGATTCAAAGCAGATAACCCAGGTAAGAAATTAAAATAATTTTACTTGTTTTTACTTTTTTTTGTATCTTTGATGTTATGTAATATTGTTATGTAATGTCCCTTATGCATACCTTTTATAGTAGTGATAGATTTCTAGGTAAAAATCTAGTGGGGTGTCATGCATTATTGCGGATTCCAACTATTGAAATGTCATGGGCTATATTGAAACTTAAGAAAGATCAAAGCTTCTTATAAAGAATATTTAAACTACAGGTTATGTGAAAAAAATAAACATAAGATTTTAGAAGGATTGAAATTTACTTTTTCATATTTGGAGGGATCCTACAATTATTTTCTGTCTCTTTAAACATAATAGGTTGTGCCATCTAAGTTGTGTTCAGTTAGGGTGTTAAGATAAAAAGGATAAAAACATATTTTGAAGATATAAAGATAAAAACATAAAATAATTTTTTCTCTAAAATAATTTTATAGTTCATTTTTATATTTTTAAAATAGAAAATATATGAAGACATGTTCTCTCTATCTTTATTGTTTTTTGTCTTTTATATTCCGAGATAGTAATTAGATGTTATTTTAGAATTTATTCAACTCTAGCAAAATCTTTGAGGTTATATATATATATATATATATATATTTGCATAATTCTTTTTTCCTACGGATAGTAAAAACATTAATCAATTTGAAAAATTTATTTATTTTAGAGAAAAATATTATTATTTATGAAAAGAATTGCATAAGATGCATATTATGTTAATCATCTTGTTAGCAAACTAAAGTGATTAAGAGCATGTCCAGCTATATATATACGAATAAGTAAATATTTATTATATCTTTTTCATTGTGTTCATATAAAGAAAGGCATCCTTTAGTTACATCTTCATGTTTTTCTTATAAACAATCATATCTCATATCAAACATTAATTTATCTTTTCATTTAATATAAAGAGTTATGAGCATAAATAATTACAAGTATTACATCATAATGAACAACGATCATAACCCTACTAAAAATCAAAACCTTGCATCGATCACAACTTTACATAAAGAAAAGTTAATGGTTTTAAACTACTTTAATTATTTTATAGCTAGAAAAAACCTTAAATGAATGTAAAGCTTTTAAGGGTCTCTCAATTTAAATATATAATAATTTGGGTTTGGTTCCTTTCTTGGAATGAAAAACTTGTGTGGGGTAAGCTCTAAACCTACAATGACTTTTTTGTTAAATACTTTTATATTGTCTCTTCATCTTTAATTTGTTTATTTTTTTAAACTTGTGCCCTTTATTTTAATTTGATTATTTTAGATCAAGTTGTTAGTTCCACACTTATATAAATATTCATACACTAATATTATTTTGTACATAGCTTGAATTAATATTATTCTTATTAACATGTAGGGGTGTGGCTGCTACATTGCCATATCGAGCGTCATGTAACATGGGGAATGGAAATGGTGTTTCTTGTGAAAAATGGTGTTTCTCCTCAAGCTCGAATTCTCAAACCTCCTCGTGACTTACTAAAATGTTGAAAGCATGCTTGTATGCATAATTAGTTCTCAAATCCTATTTGTTATCTCTTCCTATTATGCCTCTAGATCAAATTTCTTATAATTCAAGTTTTTTTTCTTAATTTTCTCATGTGGGTTACACTTCCTAATTATTTATAAGAATATTATTATTGAGATTTTAAGGAACTTCATAAAATAAAGTGGATTACTATATATATATATATATATAGTGAATAACTTAAAACACCCTATCTTAATTGTATCACACTCTATATATACAACAATTATATGAATATACTAAAGATCTTTCCAACTAAAGGCAATTAATAGTTAAAGTTATAAAATAAAAGATATTTTGATTCTTAAAAGTTTTAGTTTTCTTTTTTGGTTAATTTGACAATAAAATGTGTTTTTATAGCATATTCAAACTTTATTTTGGTGTTTTATATAGAAGCTTTTAACAAGCACATGCAAACTATAGGAAAATTAAATAAAATATTTTGACTACCACTAATAATGGATAATTAAAAAGAATCAGGTGTGTCTAACATCGATTAAATACTGGGATAAATTGACAAAATCAAAAGATTTGAAATTTAATTGATAATGAATAAGTTAAGAGCTAAGTAAGGTTTTGTGAGTTGCCACAATATTAACTTGATAGGTCTAAAAGTTGAATGAATAATAAAAACATATTAGATCGATCCTAGTCAATTCAAGTTAACATGTCAACTTTATGACCCGAGTTATTAACATGACCTTAACGAGCTAACCTGATTAGCCATCTATCTCTTTCTTTTCTCTTCCTTTCTTTTCTCCCTAGATAGGTCTTCTTTAGACTCGAGTGGGATGGAATTTTGAAATAAATTAAAGAATTATTAGAGAATCATAGACTAAACTGAATGAAGTCGAAAAAAGTATCTTGCACGTTTATTACAAGCATTAGAATGCAAAAGAAGTCATCACTTGGGGAGATACATGTAACTTCATTCGACCTTTAATGATGGCCTTCTTTAGTGTCTTTGTAATTTCTTCAATGAGGCCTTCCTTCCAAGGTGGCCTGTGGCTAGGATCGAGCTAGCTCTAGTATAACTCTAATGACCAATTCTTCTTCTCTTCATTTTGTTCATTTCTTTCTCTCTCCACCCAGTTTCCGTGCCTGGTTTTTTCTCTATCGAAGTATAAAGATGCATTTTTTTCTTAATTTAAATTCTAGTCCATCTACTTTTATTCCTTTTTAAAACAAAATATATGTATTATTCTCCATAAAATCAAGTTCAACCCAACATTATGATGTTTTCTCGACACCACAAGAACCCATACCAAGCTAATCAAACCAAAATAAAAAGCCTAATATCAATTAAACGCATTGTGTAAGCCTATTTAAGGATTGAAATGAATAACAAAAAAAATGGTAATGAAAAAAAAATTGAAAGAGCAAAAAAATATAAAATGAAAGAAAGACAAACAATGAATAAACAGTAAAATACCTAGCTCCCTCTCTCTCTCTCTCTCTCTCTATATATATATATATATATATATATATATATATATATATGTTAGGGCTATGTAACTATTGGTTAGAGCGTGAGTCATCTTTAAACTATTTATTTATCTCTAGACTAAATTGAAGATAAAAAAAGTCTTCTTTATTTTCATTGATATGAGCTTTGTTAAGATCATATTATTATAATATAATATCACCCTCATTAACTCTATAACTATTGGACAAAGCATGAATTATATTTAAATTATTTATTTATCTTTAAATTAAATTAAAAATAAAAATTAGTTTTTTATTTTATTTTTATTGATACGAGCTTTAATAAGATCATATTACTGTCATTTGACACCATTCTAATAAAAATAAAAATAAAGATAAAAATAAAAATAAAAGACCTAAAATATAACTCATATTATTATTACGAGTCATGTCTTAAAGCATTGTTAATTCCATAGTGCTTCTTGTTTTTTCTCTTAAACATTATTTATTTTATATTTTATCCTTACAATTGATGTTTGCATTGATTTATATGTCACAATTCACTTTAGTTTGCATTTAGTTACCTGTATGGAGTCTCTAAGACTGTTTCATATGTGGATTAAATATTAACTTTATGAAAAATTATTTTATTTTATTATTGGAAAAGGTTTAAAAGGCCAAGGAGTGAAATTAAGAAAAAAACTACAATATAATCCCTAAATTTTAATTTTTTATATTTATTCTTATTATTTAAGGATTTTATGTTTAGGTTTAACTTTATTTTATTTGTGTTTTGAAGCCTGCATGTTGGGGGACAAAGGAGAAAGTCATGGAAAGATTGTGAGGAAAGAAAAAATATTTGGTTGCCTATATTCCATAGAAAAAAAAAATTTATCTTATTATTATTGGGTTCATGTTAAAGAGTGGAGTTCCATGAAAGTAATGTAAAACTTATATCTATTAAAAAAAGAATATCCAGAGAAAGTTTATTTAAACCATTCTAGTTTTGTTTGAACTAATCTTATAATGTTTTTGGGGTTAAAAAAAAATTATTTAAGTTTTTATGATGTTCTATAGATTTAAAAATTAAAAACTCAACTTTCTAGAACTAGACAATAAGAGGTCATTTGCCTAGACTAACAATAAGCTATCCATTTTATTTAAAGAATTTAGACAAAAGACACAGATCATCCATTAAAAAAACATGAAAGTATCAAATGCATGAGCCTAAAATTAGAGATGCATGCGTGTTTGGAATCCTTTTTTAGGCAAAGCGTGCTAGCAAATTCTCCTAAGCCGAATATCTTACCTTTTTATATTTATTCTTTATTTGTTTTTTAATCAAAATCACCACAAACAAAATAATTAAAAAGATATTAACCAACTTCACTATAGTTTTCAAATATGATTATAATTTTTATAATAACAACAACAATTACTTTATAAATTATAATATGTGAGTTTAATATGAAAAACTTATATAAAAAAATATTCTTAAGAATATTAATTAAAATTAAAATATCTATTTTGTTATTTCTTATTATAAAGTTTTTACATTATTTATAATTAATTATTCTATATTTTTTATTTTATCACTTATAAATTGTCGAGTTTTTTTATTAAATTTTAATTTTTACATCATGATAAGTTTCTGTTTAAAAAAATAAAGTTGAGAACTTCGAAACTTAATTTTCAAGTTGTTTTCACTGGAAAAATATCCTACAAGCAATATAAGAACTTTAATAACCCATCTCTAACCTTAAAATACGTTTTAATTTCCTAAAAAATAAAAAACTAATTCAAATAAAATAATTATGGACTCTAATTTTATTTTTAGGTATGATTAAAGGGTAAAATAACCACATTTAAACTCCCCTATCTAAGACTAAGATTGATTTAAAAAAAAAGTCATAATATGATCTTTTGAAATCATTTTTTCTCTTCCTTTTCTAATGATTTTTTCTCTCATCTCCTAGAATTTAAAAACTGGAATGTGATAAAATAAATTTTGAGGACTAAAAAGTCAAAATATAAAACTCCAAGGATCAAATTATAAAAAATAAAATCTTTAAAGACTAAAATAAAATTTTAATAGGCAATTAAAAACTTTCATCCAAATTGTACCTTTTCTCTATAAAAAACGAAAATATTTTTATAGGTAATTTAGCATGTTCTGTCTATTATTCTAATGAAAACTCTTAATAGAGATATTAATATAAAAATATATAGTTTTGATATAAAATTGATAGTACTTAAATAGTTTTGGAATATATTTAAGGTTTGTAATTTAAAAGAGAGAGAAAGAGAGATTTCTCCATTAAAAAATCAATTGCTTTATATATATATAACCTATTTTCTTTTCAAAAACAAATTATCCAATAAAAAATGATAGAATATGCAAATTTGTTGAAAGTGAAAAGAAGTATATCAAAGTTACAACTATTTTTTTATAAAAAATAAAACTATAATATATAATAGGCATCTTAATATTTTTATAGAATATGATTTTTATCATTTAAATTAAAAATTATTATGAAGAGTTATATTGTTAACTAAAAAAAATTATATTAGATTTATAAAAAAATAATTTCTTATATTGCTAAAAAGTACTTGTATGTAAAAAAGAAAAGAAAAATATGTCGTTAATGTTTTTTTTTATTATTTAAATAACGGTGAAAAATGAATATTGCCTTATCCGTAAAAGGTGGAACGTATTCAAAGCACATAAATGCAATCTACTACTAATAGCTAACCCTTTCATTCCATCCTCTTCAACGAAACAAAGAACCACTTTTCATTTCCCTTCTTTACCATCGTCTCCTAAAAAAAATCCCAAATATATTTTTATATATATAAATTATTAGCACGCATGGTTTAGAAGTATCCTCTTGTGTGGGGGATTGGTTGAAACAGCAAAAGCCGAACTCGAAAGATTCAAGAAGCCTAAAGAAGGCTGCCCATTTCTTCTCTCCATAAAGGGTAAGAGAGAGAGTAGATTTTGTGTGGGATTCTGTCTCTTTCGTTATGGTGGATGATGGTTTTTTGAACGCTTCTTCTAATTGCAATGGCAACCAAGAGAGCCCAAGAAAAACAAAAGATATTAATAAGAAGAAGAAGAAGAAGAAGAAGCGTGGCGGGAGCAAGAAGAAGATGACTGTTGAGCAGACCTTGGCTTCCAAATCTGTCAGCGAATGGGTTTACTTGGATCGGAAAGTGGTTGCTGATGATTTCGATTTTGGAGTGCACAAGACTCTGATGATGAGGAGAGAAGACAAGGTTGTCTTTGAATTGCATACTCATTCCAAGTTCAGTGATGGCTTCCTGTCTCCTTCCAAGCTTGTGGAGCGAGCTCATGGAAATGGGGTCTGTCTTTCTTTCTTTCTTTCTTTTTTTAAAGTGGCTAGACATGCTGAGTGTTTAATGCTTTTGTGATGGTGTTAGAATGACATGTACTGAATAAATTGCTCGAATGTTTTTTTTTTCTTGATTGATGCCTTTATAAAAGGGCACATCTCTTTAGCATGTTAGTAATTGTAAGAATTCAAACTCATCAGATTAATTTCATTTTTTTTTGTTATATATCACGCGGCCTGGTATTGTTCAATCTAGGCTTCAGCTCAAAGCAAGCGCCAATCTTGTTTGGGTTTGATCCTTCACATGTTGTCTTGGATTAAAATGCAAGTAGTTTGGGGTTTTTAATTGTTACACGGATGTTGAATTATCAAAATTGCTAATTATTACAATCAGGAAACTCAACTCATTAATTATAGTGTAAGTTATTCGGCCGAGATTGCATTATTAGGTCTTGGAGGAGTGTTTATCTGTTATATAACAATGATTTTGTTTTCTTAAGGAGTTTATGTAATGGGTGATGCCCTTTCATGGCTGTATACATTTTTTTTTTTTGATGATTGCTATGCTTTGATTTATCCATTCTTTCTGGTTTTAGTGCCAACATCTTCATTAGTAAAATTTGTTCAGAACAGGTGAAAGTTCTTGCTCTCACTGATCATGACACAATGTCTGGTATACCTGAAGCTACAGAAGCAGCTCGCAGATTTGGCATCAAGATAATCCCAGGTGTTGAAATAAGCACAATGTTCTCTCCAAGGTATCTGCTTTCATCAAGTTCAGGATTTAATGCGGTAGTGGGTGGTCATATTATTATGACAACTGATGAAAAAGCAAATTTTAAAAAATGAATTCCATTTCCATCTTTGTAATTTGTTCAATTGATCATAATGCAGAAATCCTGAAGCAGAGGAGCCAGTGCACATCCTGGCATATTACAGCAGCGGTGGGCCAACTAGGTCTGATGAAATGGAAAAGTTCTTGGCTAACATAAGAGATGGTCGTTACCTTCGTGCAAAGGACATGATCTTGAAACTCAATAAACTCAAGTTGCCTCTTAAGTGGGAGCACGTTACTAGAATTACAGGAAAAGGAGTTGCTCCTGGAAGACTGCATGTGGCTCGAGCTATGGTTGAAGCAGGCTACGTAGAGAACCTGAAACAAGCTTTCGCTAGATATCTGTATGATGGTGGACCTGCTTATTCCAAGTAATAATCCAGTTCTTTTTTAGTTAATTGGCTATACTAAGCATATTTCTTATTCAGAGATTTGATGGGTGTAGATTATTTTTGTGTTGTTGAACAGAGGAAATGAGCCTCTTGTAGAGGAGGCAGTACAATTGATATGTGAAACGGGGGGTGTTGCTGTGCTAGCTCATCCTTGGGCATTGAAAAACCCTGTTGCAATAATACAAAGGTTGAAAGATGCAGGTCTTCATGGGATGGAGGTTTACAGAAGTGATGGCAAACTGGATGGTATGTTGTTTTTGCACCGTCCCCAACTACCCCCTTCTTTCTATCCTCATATCTTAAATTAAGGTTTTCCATTTTTTTTCCTTCTGAGGAGGGGTATATGCTTTAGAGATGTGCAACAACCCACAACCCCCCCCCCCCCCCCCCCCCCCCCCTGAACTTTAAATAGAATGGATGTAATAATCTTGACTCTAGTGTGAATAACTTAACTGCATGTTAATCTAGAGATTATGCAATTGTCTTATTGAAATGACCTTTATGATTTCTTACTGAAATTTATACTGGATTTCAAACATGTGCATTGTAATGGGTAGGTACTGGTGCCGAATCATACATAATAAGCTACCCTTGTTTTGGTATCATTAATCTTGATATACTGAGAAAATCTGATCAATGAGTTTTTAGTCATTTTGAAATTGGTTTAAACTTAGAATTGTTTCCTTTCTATATAAAAAATCTGGAAAATTCATCGTGAATCATGCCACTAATAGTAATAACACATTTTCCTGTTTTGTTTAGAATATGGAGACTAGAGTGCATTGTGGATCGCTTAAGATTGAAATTCTACTGTTATTATTTATGGAAAAGCTGAATTCTCTTAATTTTGGGATGAAGTTAATTCCAACATTGTTGATCTAAATGGGAATATGCATTTTTCATCACTGACCTTTTCGCTGCACAAGGATGCTTGGTATACATTTCTGCTTTCGCATTTCCTTTTGTTCTTCCATCCTCATTATGTCTTCATTTTGTTCTCTTTTGAACAGTATACAGTGACCTAGCAGATGCTTATGGTCTTTTGAAGCTAGGAGGCTCAGATTATCACGGAAGAGGTGGAAATAATGAATCTGAACTAGGAAGTGTTAACCTCCCAGTAATTGCTTTGCACGACTTCCTGAAGGTAGCACGTCCCATCTGGTATGGTGCCATAAAAGATATTTTCGAGAGATATGCTGAGGAGCCCTCTGATTCGAATCTAGCAAGGATAACAAAGTTTGGGGGAGCAAGGATTTTAAAGGGAAATTCCCCATTGAGTTGTGGGAAGGACTTGATTGATCGTTGCTTATCCTCGTGGTTAACAACTGAGGAGACGCAGACAGCCGAGTTTGAGGCCATTAAATTAAAGCTCTCCTGTGTCACGATTAATCAAGGTGGGACTCGCGTTCCTATAGAGAGCCACTAACTCAAGCGGAGATGTTTCCTTTTGCCACTGTCAAAAAAAGGAGAGAATTATTTCCTTTTGCCAATTTTTCATGCTCAAGTGATCAGGTTATTATCCATTTTTTGTTTTAATTGATTACGCTTTTAACTGGAATATTTATGAATGCATTATCTTAAGTAGTGTCTGATAGAACAATGTTATAGAATTTATCCTGTCGGATAATGGTTGGCAAGATAATTGATGATGGTGGAAAGATAAGACAGGTTTGGAATGTTATTGAGAGATGATCTTTTTCCCTGGTCATATCAATATACATATTTTATTCTATTTTAACTGTTTTCTGCAGCTATTTATTTGTTTCCCTTCATAATACAAGGGGAAAAAGTAGTTTGAAGCAGAAAAATAATTTATTTTATTTATGCAAAATCACTTTTCATTCCTAAAAAAATACAAATTTGGATGCATTATAAATTTGATAATTTGTTACATATCTGAAAGCTTGTGAATTGCATTTAATTCCATCACAAGTCAAGATATTTTTAAACTAGCTTGTGCATTAATTAAAATTATATTTTATTTATTGATGATTTTAAAAATGCATCTTTCACATTAACCTAATATATTAAGACAAATTTATAATTTTTTTTTCTGGTGTTTGCTGTGAGATTTTAACTCAAGAAATCATGAGAGGGGATGGACACTATATAGATATGTAAAACAAGTAGATAACGATCACACAGGAAGAAAAACAGCGTCTCACCACTACGAGACACAACATCAAAAGGATACAAATGAAAGTACCCCACCACTCTAAGGATATCAATGGACTCATCACTTCCAAGATTCAGAGTCAAGGGCAAATTCAACACTCACAAAGAAATATGTAAGTTGTTAAAGAGCTAAAAGATCATAATCATATGCTCTTAATTCAAATCCAACAAGCGACCTTAATTACATGGTTGAAAACACACACACACACATATATATGAGCAGTTACTTATTGGAATGCAAATAACAACCTGTAAAATTTAAATTGATAGTCTACACCCTTGAAATAAAATAGTCATAACTTCTTATAGGTAATTCTTGTTGTAGATGATATGCCAATAATGAAAAGACTCGTTAAAAAATCATGTCATTCCTAAATTGATTTTTAGATAAATAAATAAAAAACAATCAAGGCATACAAACAAGCATGTAAAGAAAAGCAAACACAAATATTTTTTACACATACAAATAAAACAAATCCTTAACATTTAAGGGAGAAGATCCATTTAAGATCTTACCATTCATGTGTCGATTCTTTGATAGAAAAAAGACAATTAACTTAAATAATCATATAAAAAAACTTTTTTGATATATAAAAATACCCCTACCATTTATTTTGTAAATAAATAATATAAAATATTTATTATGACACAACTTTTACAAAAAAACAAACATATATATGCACATATAAAATTTTCAAACCAAGGTCTAACAATTGCATCTTGGATAATCCTATTGCAACTCATCATTTGAACCTCATTCTAAGGTATTAATTTCAACCTTCTCACACCTTGAAAAATAAATATGTAGCATGGCATGATTTAGCATCTTTAAACATCAAAATTCAAGAAAAATAATTTTTTTGATATCTTTACTTGTATTTTTAGATTTAATAACTAATTTATTAAATTTATGAGAACTTTATATACATTTCAAAAACAATAAAAAATTATTTTGTTTCTTTTAATACACGATATTATAAACTTATACATAAGATGTATTCTTGATATTTAATAAAAATATTTTTTTTTCATGTTTTGACTCTAGAATAGTTAGGCTTGACTCTTAAAGTTACGGTCCACTCTACTAGAGAGGACCGACTTTAACCATTAAACATACCAAAGGTTAGAAAACACAACAATATTGTAGTTTATATTAGACAAATAAATAATGCAGATTATTTTAAGTAAGGTAACTAGAGGTGATATATTATTCTTATACCCAACCAGTTTTCTTATCCAGACTTTGAGACCAATTCGAAAACACTAGGTGATAACTTCATTTTTTTTATTGATAAAAAACAAGAATTTCTTATTTTTTCCACTTATCACCAGAAGATCCCGGTCTAAGAGAATGATCACTGCAATGCCGCATAAATGTGATAATGGTTATGGATTATGAAATTTTATAATCAATATTTTAGGGTTGTACTTTATAGGCATTTTATCTTGATATGTAATAAGATTTAATTATCTAATATTAATTACTTGTTATGGTGATGTGATGATGTATGATGTTTTGGGACCTAGTAAATCTAAAATTTTAAATTTATATCATGTATGTTGTAGTATCTTGTGTAGAAATAATATATTAATTAACTTATTTAGCAAATGATAGTTTATTATAGAATTTGATTTCATGTTTGGATGTTGGATATTAGTTTATTTAGTAAATGATAGTTTATTATACTTAATATGAAACTAATAAATGCTAATAGTGTTTTGGATATTAAGAATGAATAAGGGAATGTTGGATATGATCTAAAATGACTGGATCTGAGGTGGAGGAATGATTCTTGTGTGGTTTTATGGATAAGAAGTGTATTTTATTTGATGTTGATATTTGAGATGTTCAAAATAAAAATGAGATTTTGCTAAAATTTTAACAAAATCTTGATAAGCTAGAAAATATTGATATTTTTCATTTGAGTATATAAGAATAATCTAGATGTTTACTAAAAACTTTAAATGATGTTATGCATGATGTGTGTTGGATTTTAGGAATGTTATATTTGGTATCATAGCTATAGCATTGATTCAACAGATTCAAAAGAGATTATAATGACTAATTAGCTATAGTTTGATTTCAGAACAGTTAACACAAGACATGGTACAAGTACTGCCCTGTCTTCAGTTAGGAGTGAGAGTTCAAAGGGGAGTCCTTTGACTAATACTGCTTCACAAAGTACCCACTACATCCTTGCAATAAAAAAGGGCAAGTCTATAAGACTTAGAGGTGAGACTTCTTTATAAAGAGCTAAGAATGTACCGCCCAAAGAGATTGAAAGAGAGGGTAGAGCTGCTAGAGACCTAGTTATAGTGTCAGTAGTAACACTAGTGGCACCTATAAACCTTGCATATTTGGAATAAATAGTGCAAAGCTACAAATACATGAATGGGAAAAGCAGCAGACATTGCCTCTTAAAAAGGTATTACTTTTGTGATGGTGATGAAAAATATAAGAGAGATGGGTTGTAAACCCTACTTAGGGGAATAAGATATTGAAATAGTTGGGCGTTGGTTGCGAATAATAAGTGTAATGAGTAACATAATATAATCAATTCAAAATAAAAGAGAAAATTAGAGATTAAGAAGTGTAATAAGTGGGGCTCCTCAGGACACTTAAAATGGATTGATGAGAGGATAAATATGTCCTAGAATTAGAGGCACGATGAGGTCTCATACTCAAGGATAAAATACTCACACTTATCCTTGATATGTGAGGTGTCTATAGAATCATCCAGGAGATTATCCAGCTTCTCTAGGACAATGCTATATAATTTGACAAGAGTTACATTGTTGGAGGAAGTGTTTATATATGAATTCTTATTGTTATCGTTGTAAGGAGACTTGGCATCGCAAGAATGAATGCCCTAACAGGGTTACCAAGCAAAGTCAGCGCCATAAAAAGTCAACACAAAATCAACAATGATTAGTGACTATGAATAAACCTTGTAAATCAGCTTAATCTGGAGCTAGTGCTAATTAGGGGTGGTCTAGAGTACAATAAGGAAGTTTTTTCCACATGACTCAAAAGGAAGCAAGAGTTGTCACTAATATTGTAGCATGTACGCTATTATTATATTCTCAATTGATTTATATATTGATTGATTATAGAGCCACACATTTATTTGTGGCAAGAAAATTTAAGAATAAACTAAGTGTATAACCTTTTAGAGTGTAAAAAGGTTTCATTATTAGTACACCATTAAGGGAGATTGTATGAATGAGATATATGTGTAAGGGTGCTAGGGGTACTATTAAGGATTAGGATATGAAAGTAGAGGTGATACCATTAGAATTGCATGACTTTGATTTAATATTAGGAATTGATTAGTTAAGGTTATATTGAACTCAAATGGATTGTTTTGTAAAAACTATGACACTATAGGGGACTAAAGGTGATTGAGTAGTGTTCTTAATACTATTAGAATTGTATAACTTTGATTTAATATTAGAAATGGATTGTTTTGCTATAACTTTGACACTACGAGGGATGAAAAAGTGATTAGGTAGTGTATAGGAGGGAGAAAGTTATTCATAATTAAGTGATCTCAATCATGACTACTAAGAAATTATTAAGAAATAAATGTATGTCTTATTTAGACTATATTATAGATTCAAAAAATAAAAAGGTAGAGTTAACAAAGATTACTCTAGTGAGGGAATTTCCTAATGTTTTTTCGAAAGAGTAACTTAAATGGCCACTCAATAAAAAAGTTAAACTTTCAATAAATGTGATTCTAAGAATTACCTTTCTAACCCAATTGCCTTATAAAATGGCACCATTAGAAATGGTTGAGTTGAAGAGTCAACTTCAGGCACTATTGAATAAAAGGTTTATTTGATATTTTGGGAGCTTCAGTGCTATTCATGAAGAAAACAGGATTGTACTTTCTAATTCTGCATTGATTATAGAAAATTAAATAGAGTGATAATAAAGAACAAGTATCCACTTCTAATGATAGATAATTTGTTTGACCAACTAAAGAGGGCACACGTATTCTTAATGATAAATCTAAGATTGGTGTATTATCAATTGAAGATTAATGGGCAAGATGTCCAGAAAACTGATTTTAGAACTTGTTATGGACATTATGATATCTTAATGATGTCATTTAGATTAACAAATGCTCCAATAATATTCATGGATTTGATGAACTAGGTCTTTCAACCTTGTTTAGATAAGTATATGGTGGTATTCGTAGATGATATACTGGTGTATTCAAGATTTTATTTGGAGTATGAACAATATTTAAGAAGTATACTGCAAACTTTAAAGGATCACCTGCTATATACTAAGCTAATAAAAAAGAAGTACTGTTTATGAAAAATATAATATCAATAGAAGGAATACTCGTAGATCTAAGAAAAGTGGAAGCTAAATGAAACGGGGAAAAACCCACTAAAATTCATAGTTTTCTAGGTTTGGCTGGAT